TGCCTCAGTGAACACCACCATTATACCACCATACTATCTTAGAATCAAAATATAATTTTTTTCTTTTTGGCCTTTTTCACACGGAATCTTGGACTTTACTTCAATGTTTTTGTAACTTCACTGGGAAGTGCTACAGAAGTGATCCCCCACCACCGGGCCGCGGACTGGTACGGGTCCGTCGGTCATTTGGTACCGGGCCGCACAGAAAAAAGTAGATATTTTTCTGTATATTATATATAATTTATCGACGATCAGAGTCTGAGTGATGTTTTATTTTGAAAAATATAAAAAATTGCGGTATTCTCTCCTAATTACATCAGTCGGTGCATCTGTGCCTCTCTTGACACAGGTTAATTCAGTTCAAGAAGTATCCTATCTATAACATCCTATATTTGTGAAGCGGGATTTTCTGCGGTTACAGCGACCAAAACAAAGGAGTCATTGTCTCCGATTACGCCTAGATGGGATCGGCTTGTTGTTTTATTTTTATGCTGTTTGTATTTGATTTTATGCCAGTCGTATCATTTTACTTGATCGTATCTTAAATGCAAAATGTTCATGAATTTTACTGCTCTAAGTGGGTTGCTCTGTCAGCTAAAGGCATATTTTACTGTATTTATGCTACATTTAACGATTAATCTATTACTAAGTTAGTTGAAATTTATTTCAGTAATCCATTAATCACGTTTAATCCGATTAATTGTTTTAGCCCTAATGAATATACCAGCAGGATGTTGTAATATTTCTGAAACAAAGTAAGCTACAAATTTTAGTTGTAGTCAACTAAAGTATGCACCTCTCACTAGAAATGCAAAATATAGTATATATACATGAAGCTGAGGATCTGTTCCACATTTGCATGTTGCATGGTATCTCTGTCATTTGAATCAGATTATGTAGGTTAATACAGTTAGTTTTTCTACAATGTTTGTTTAATTTTGCTTTCAGTTTTGCTTATTATTCCCTTGCACCTCTGAATGTTTTGCAGAAAAAAGACAGATGACAAGAATAACCTGAGTTGTGCAGATGCTGGAGAAAATGTGTCTGTGACATAATAGTAATGCTTTTTAATTTGATGTATCTGTTCCAGCAGTGAAGACAGACCAGCTCTTAACCATCAAAAAGGAGCTGTCGCAGATCAAGACGAAGATCGACTCACTGCTGGGAAGGTTGGAGAAGATTGAAAGGCAACATCGCTCCGACACGGGTAGGAAACAAAAGAGAGGGAGGGCTGTACCTGTCTGCCAGAGGAGCTACTGTCAATATATTAACTGTATCTACATGGGGAATAGAAAAACTGTTTGTTAAACAGGTAGTTTTGAACAAAGACAAAAACTGGGTAGTATGAAGTTGTCTCTGTGGAAAGCAGATTCTTCTGTTAATAAAAAAAACAAAAAACTTTGTTTTATTCTGCCGCTAACTGAAGTCTTTCTCTGTCTGCCTTGTCTTTTGACAGAGATGCAGAGGAAACAGGAGGAGGTGTGTGAGCGTCTCCATGGTGATGGTGAAGACCACTCCGGAGGAGAGGAGGTTGAGGGAACGGACGAGGTGGAGGCAGGAGAGATGACAGACGGAGGCGAGGATGACTTTGAAGATGAAGGAACCAGCGACATGGTGAGGAGCCCAAGCAGACAGTCACTCTCTCTCTGCAAGGACTGAGCGGTTTTTCACCGTCTCATATAAAAGCAATGTACCATCTACAGCTATCAAACCAAAATTACAGCCTGAGTAGAGTCTGCACCCAATCACTTACTCAAGTGGAACAAAGGATGGTCTGGAATAATTTCAACTAAACTAAATCATTCCGGAAATAGTTTTATGTTAAATTAGTATGAATATTTTGTGTGCTTATGTTTGATTTCAGTAAGTTTAAACTCCCTTAACTCACAGCTAAAAAAAATTGGAATATCAAAAGTATAAATGAAGAATAAGTTACACTTTTTAAAGAAAATTGGCCATTTTACCACATACCAATCTGAAAAGATAAAACGCATTTTAACATGAAGGTACTGTTATTTTATGGAAGATACCGGAGAAAACTTAATTAAGATGAGAGCAGAGATAAAAGAAAACAATCAAAATTTATGTAGATGACATGGTAACAACATAATCCATAATGGATGTGAAACTTTGATTGTGGTTTCCTTTATAGACCTATATTGATGCATATGGTACAATGCATAACATAACGAATGTTTTGCTTCACAAATCTTTACAAGTCTCTTCTAAAGAGAGAAAAGTTGTTAAAATGAACTTAGTTCAAAATGTATTGACTGCTGACTTTTAAAGGCCATGTTTTAAATAGTGTTACATTATCCCAAACATGAACTCTAGCTCTCTGTCTGCAAGAGAGCTCCTGTGTTTTAGTGTTTTCAATATTTGGATCGATATTGAGATTATATAGCCTTTACCTTTAATAAGGTGCAGTGGTACAGTGTCATTAGCCACTAATAATGTTAAAGTAGTCTCTCCTGCCAATTTATCCACTATTGTTAGTTCAAGAGCTACTCCAAGGTTTTTAATGAGTCTGGACCTCAATTATTGATATCTTGCTTAAGATCTAAAATATTTAGTCTTTAAAACGTAAACCTAGACAGAGAAGGGGATTTTTTGAAAAAAAAAAAAAAGTTCCTAATCAGAGGCATAACCTCAAAGCATCTAGTATTATACATCTTCAGCATGCATATTTGTATGTCGTTTAATGTTTTATAGTAAATTTCGCTCCATATAGAGTTTGGAAAATAATAATTTCAATAATTTAATTTCGGGATGTTGCTCAGTAATCAGGAAGAAAAAAAAGTTGAGCCATTTAGCTCAATATGTTCCACTCTTCTGAATAGAAATGTGTTTGGACAAGTGATTTTATTTTTTTTTTTTAAACCAGCTGGAACGTTCATGACTGTGTTTTTTTTTTGTCTGTTTGTTCCTATTTTGATGTTATTTAAACTCAAGTTGCCTCTGAATTACCTGCTTTTTTTCCATTCAATGACCAAACCAACAGAGAACATATTTGGTATGTCAGGATGTTAATTTCTATAAATGAAGAAAAAAAAGAACTGTTGAAAGCATAATCTGTTTCACCCGGTGCCTCCATTAAGGTGTGATTCTGATTCTTGCTTGTATTGCAGATAGAGAACCACATATCGGATATTGACAACTGAGTAAGGTCAGTATTTACACTCCTCCTTATCAACCTGTTTGACTTACTTTGGTATTTTTGAAAGTCCTGTAGATGACCTCAGATGATGTCGGTCACAGAAAGGTTTTGAAGGTTTGCTGTTCAGATGGAGACAGAGATTGAATGATTGACCTTACTCACTGTTATTCAACTGACCCTTCTTTTTTCATCGTCTGGGAGAAGGAGGCTGTTTTTCTACAGCTGCCCCTGATGACTGCCTCGGAATAAGGACAGATATGACCTGCCTGCCTACCATGCACACTTTCCATTTATATTCCTTCTATAGAAACAAGTGGCTATGGGGGGAAGAGTCCCCTTGCTGACATTTTGTCCTTGCTGAGAAAATAAATCAAGAAATATTTGGTCTTAGGCATGTCTTAATATGATTTTTTTTTTTCCCTTTTTTTGGTCGAGGCATTCCTGGAATACACTCACAGATATTCTCCTATCTTAAACAATTGTGCTCAAACATGCATCCTGTTTTGCTCACATAAGCTGAGAAAAACATGAGCTACACTTGTTTCATAGATCTTCAGTTGCATTTATATTTTACAAGATTCATAATTCCTAAATAAATGAACAGTAACTTCAACAGGCTCAACAGTATTGTTAAAACTCATTTCAAAATTGACTTCTTAATTTTCCTTGATATGAAATAATGCCAATCATTCCCACAACAGATAACTAACCAAATTATAGACTGTAGACTGTATATAGAAGTATGACAAATATAATATCACTGTGTTTAAATACAGTTACCACCTTTAAACAGTAGTATTTGTTTTATTTCAAAGCTAGTAGTGTGGAGGTTGTCTTAAAAGTTACTACGTTTAACAAAAGGATGATTAGATTACAGCATTGGGAGAAATGATATTGAGTGAACCAGTGTTAAAGGTGTTTTGGTGTGAACAACAAAAATTCCATAGAAGAGACGCTCAACTTCCCAGTTTATTAGGTGCACTTTTCTAGTGGTTTGGCAACGTTTTTCCTTCAGAAATCCCTTCTTTAAAGTTAAACATTCCCTCTGTTCCTATAACTAACTAGTTCCATTTTAGGTTATTCTGTTCAAAGAACCGTATTCCATAACATTTTTTCTTTGTCTATGTTTTATATGCACATCATTACTTCTCATCTGTCTGCTGCAGGAAACCACTAGAATAATTAAAGGGGTCATAGAATACCGGACCTCATCAGAGAGCCATGAGCCGCCCGTCCTCAGCCGGAGGAGGGAGGCTGGGGACCGGTAACCGGAGTGTCCCTGATATAGATAGTTACCCGCGAGTCGGATAAATTATCACGGATTTTAGCCTATGCGAGGTGGTGTTTTTTTTGAATGCGAGTGAATACCCTATATAATCATTCTATGACCCCTTTAAGAATATCAACGTTTTGGTCTCAAAAGTAGAATTTACAGCTTTCATCAATGAAGTTATGCTTTTAGTTTGAATTCATGGCTCTCCTGTTTCTTTGTTTGTCAAATTTTCCACCCTTTCAGTTGGCTGTGTGTTTATTTATTGTAACGTTTGTATCCTCCTTTATATTTACTCATTAGCCTTTCTCTAATGAGTCCCTGGTGTTTCAAAGGCCACAGTAACTAAGAAACTGTTCTTAATCTTCCCTGATTGGTTTAAAAAAAATCAACAAGTCTGGCCTTAATGTCTTAATGTTAAAATTGCCCCTTTCTTATTCAACAAGCATCCACTTTCATACCCACAGCTGAAGGTACCTTTTCTGGGTCCCTACTGACAATTTGACATATGGTGAAATGGATATCTTTAAATTGTTACGGGGACTTAAACTCCTACAAGAGTCTTAAGAAAGTGAAATCTCTAAACCCTGTTTGGATGTTCCCATTTCAACAGTCAGAAAAACACCAAACTAAATCTTCAAGGTTTAAAGAAGGAAAAACTAATTGAAAGTCCAAGTTATTTTTTTCTCTGAATGTGCACCTAATGTGATTTATCTCAGATCATTTTGGGGGAGTCCAAATTAAATCAATTACTTGGAATTGCAAATTTTTATTATGTTTTACAAAATGATAGTTCTTGTCTTATTGTTTTTCTAGTGTTAGAACCTATATTAGTTTGTAATAAATAATAGACCATAGTTGTTTATTAGAATTGATATAAACATTTATTCATATGTTTAAATATGTTTGAAGAACACACATAGATTTGGACAGAAGGACGGATCAGGGAATTATTTCATCCTCTTGTATTTAGCAGATTTTTTTGTATTCAGCCTGATTGGAGGAACTTTGATCTTGAAATTCCTTTTATAGATGATGCCACAGTAGTTCCAATTCATTTAGGATCTGAATGTAGAATAATCACAGTGATCGGGGAGGAACCCCTGCTTTAGTTTACTGAGATAAAAACAATGGAGGTAGAATTTTCTAAAAACATGCTTTAGTTCTTAGTAAACATGGTATTCAAGCTGTACTCAGTATAACACAACAGCCATCATGTAGAATGCCACGCATCCACAACTGTGCTGTCTGCCTGAGAAAAATAAAAGTGCCTTCTGTAAGAATACAATGAAATGTGCCCACTCTCTTTGAGAAAAGAAAGCAAAAAGTGTATTGTGTCAAAATAACAAACAAGCAAAACAAAAGAAATGTCACCGCACGATAGCAGCAATAATGCAGAATCGTTTGGCTAGAACTTGGTTTTATCAGCTTTTAGAAAAATATATAGAATGAAATGTTTAAGTTTAAAAAAACCTTCTAAACAGAACAGTTTCTTCCCCACCACCATTAAACTGCTGAATGTTGTATAAAATGGGGTTTTAAAAAAAAAAGCACTGAATGTAGATATCTGTAAACCAGTCTTATGTTTACATTTTATCACGGATGCATTTTAAAAATGGAAATTGCTTGAGAGCTAAACTGAACGACATTTCTTTTTGTATACACTCTGTGTGTACAAAATGAAAATTTAGCCTGTCTAAGTAAGTGTAAGTCTAAATGTTTTAGAGAAATAAAAGCAATTAATATTTCTATTTTTAAAGAGATATGCCCAAATAAACTAAAATAAAAAAAAAAAAAAGAACACAAAAACAAATCCTTTCATGATAAATTCGGGTGAAATGTTATTTGTAGTGAGTAATCAGATTTATAAATAAAGAGGTAAAAGTACAATTTTTGTGTCTCTAATTTAAAAAAGTAAAAGTTCCGATTTAAATAAATGCTAAGTTAAGTATAGTTATTTAAAAAAAGATACTGAAATGAAGTAAATGTCGCTATAGTAAATCACTATGCACCAGGGTTGCTGTATGGGGGGAAAGTTAGGAAGACTCTAAGGGCCCTTCACTGGGCGGGGGGGGTCACAAAAGAATAAGAAAAGATTTGCCCAGCTATATTTCTCAATTATAAAAAGAAAATCTAGCAGTGACATAAATTATGTTGTGTTCTCCCTCATTTTTAAGCAGTAAAAAACGAAACAAAGCATGAATACATTTACCAAAACCCCATGTTCTGCATTGCATCAGGTTTTCCCCTCTGTCAACTGCAGTTTGGTGGTACCTGGGCTTAAGTGCCACATGCGCATGATTTTACATAGTATTGCTCATGAAGATTCTGAGGCATCCAGGTCATAGTCAAAGGTAAAAGGAATTGTTGGCCTGGTTGAACATGCAAGGTCTCCTGATCCTCTGTAAAGGGGTCGGGGCCGCGATGATAGCGGGAAGGGATCAACTCAGTTGCTTCATTGTAGGTTTTTGAAAGCTGAAAATCTGAGTCCACCCTCTCTGTTTAAGGTTGTTTTTTCTTCAACTGACCTCCATTCCAATGGAAGGTCTCAATTTGCATGTTTTCTTAGCAAAAACAAGGCTTTGTTGGGCTACTGTATAAAGCCTCCAACTCAAAGCTATTTCTGACATTTTGAATTGACAAAGCTTCCTGGATGAGAAGCGAACCATCTTGAAACTTGGAAACAAAGTCCAGTGGGTTTTTTTTTTTTTTAGCTTTTTTGGATTTACATGGTGATAATGAATGAAACACTTAAATGTACCTTTATAGCAATTTAAAAGCTTACATACTTTTTTTTGGGTGGGGCCCAATATCACTGTCTTTCATGGGGCCCCAAATTCTTGGCGGCGCCCCTGCTTATGCACCTCTGCTTATTAATGAATCTTGAATAGTAAAATATGCCCTAAAAGTAAGAAAAAAAATAGCCAGGATTTATATGACTGATACATTTTAGAGCAGCTTATTAATTAATTTTATTGTCCTTTTCAAGCAGCAAAGAAGTTGTGACAACAGATACCAGCAAAATCCTCTCGATCAGGGAGCTGAGTTAGAGGGGGAAGGAAACAATGCGAGAAGTGACTGACAGCAGAAGATGATGTTTTCAGACGTGTTGCAGCTTGTTTGCCTCATCCAAACATCAGACTCCTGACGTGTGCTTTATCAAAATGTGGGATATAAATATTCTCCAGACTTCTGCAAATGCCAAGAGCATTGAATATTCTCACGTCAGAACGGTTGCTTTTCCGAAAAATGCAGACAACAGCTGTATATTGTGTGCTTAACATGTATTGTTCTGTATTGTGCATATAAATACAGTTATGTGAACAAAAGAACATGAAATGGTCTCTTTTTGTTGTATTTTGCTGTTTGTTCATGTTTCTGTAAGCCAGCCACACTGCAGGGAGAGAGCTGAATATGAATGTAAACTAGTGTCCTATTCTTTGGCACTTGATGATAAAGTGTTTTTTGTTTAAATTGTACATTCGGGTGAAACCTACTCATAGTTTGGTTATTGTTGTGTTTCACGTAGTATTGGATGCATACCACATTTCTCATTTGTTGTTTAAATAAGAAGCATTTGGAATTTATTTACATCCTTTTCATGGTAATTTGAAGACGACTGATTCTTTTTAGCATGTTCAAGGTGTGACTATTCTGGATAATTTGTATTCAGTGCATCTGTTGTACAGTCGTGGCTGATAAGAATTTTTGAAATAAACCTTACCCTATCCTTGAATATTTGTTATGGCTTATTTATTCACGGGATGTTACATACTCATTTCTAAGTTCCAGTATTTTTTGGGAACAACATTAATCTTTTAAAACAGATTGCAAGTGACCAAGAAATACTTTCAGACTGTTTTTTGTTTTTTTTTTGTATTTGTAAATACTTGTAAGTCTGAAAAGGTGTTATTTTGCTAAAAAGTTCCTGTTACAGCAGCTCTAAACGCACATGCACCCTTGGTGAAGATTACAATCATGCCTTTAAAATAAATCAGCATTAATGCAATAGGATGATATGAATGGTAATGGCTTGTACATATGTAGCTCCTTTTCAAGTTATGGCACATCAAAGCGCTTCACACTACATTCAGTCATTCCCCCATTATCGCACACACTGATGGTGGTCAGCTAAATTGTAACCACAGCTGCACTGGGGCTCACTGACAGATATAAGGCTTCTGTACACAGGTTTCACTGGGCTCTCTGACCACTATCAGTCCCACAGACCATCCTATTTGGCCACAAGCTACAGCAATTGGTACAAAAACTCAAGAAATTTCAGATACATTCTTTAAAAACTGCCCCCTAAAAAACATGTAGAACTAGTAATCTCCCTCTAGTGCATAACTTATCCTAGCAAACAGAAGAAACCTTGATCTTGAGAGCTGCATGAAGTTAAGTTTCTTTTCAATTAGGTTTAATAAAAATTATATTTCTTATTAGGTCAATACAAATTCATAATTTAAGAATTTTTTACATAGTTTTGACTTAATTAAAATTAGAATGACCATTTTCTATAAAATCTGAATTAGAGCATTTTTTTGTTTTGAAAAAAACATTTAGCAAATGAAAACTAGGATCCTATCTCAATACCACTGAAGCTATCACCGTATTGTTTTTATATAATTAGTTAAACAGAATTTGTAAAAAAAAAATGAAATAGATCAAAAGGACCGATCAGTAACAGTGTTGCCAACTCAGCGACTTTGTCGCTATATTTAGCGACTTTTCAGACCCCTCCAGTGACTATTTTTCAAAAAAGCGACTAGCGACAAATCTAGCGACTTTTTACGGTGTCACTGGCGGCTTTTGGAGACTCTTACGTGAAAGCATGTATCGTTCCTACTCTTGTCCTCCAGCGGCAGATGCTGCCGTGGGGCGCCTCCCCCATCCCAAGCCCGTTCTCCCACAGGATGTTTACACTCAGCGTCCAGACTGCAAATGAAGCGCGCATGCGCCGGGATTGACGCCGCAAATTGATCACAAATATTAAATATTAAAATATATAAATAAAAAAATAAAATAAAAAATAAATAAATAAACATTAATGGACAGAAAAAGTAGCTCTGTATATTTTGTCTTTCTGTAACGACATCATTTCTCCCACAGCATCAATAACATGCACTTCACTTCCTGTGGCAGATTATGTAAATTAGGCGATGATGTCATTTAGCGACTTCTAGCGACTTTTAGCACAACCAATAGCTACTTTCCTTACTGAGGAGTTGGCAGCACTGATCAGTAACCATGTCTGTTCCAGCTCATATCATCATTAGAATTTCTTTGAGTATTATGTCTTCAGTACAGGGGCCATAACAGTGAGGGGCACTGGACCCCATTGGCCCCTGTCTGGAACCGCCCATGTACAGTACTCCTTCCCTTTATGCTGTTACCTAACTGGAATTGAAAGTATAACTTTATTTTTAACATAGGGCCCTTGCAAGTTGTGGTGTCTGAGTAATGTGTTGACTTGGCAGAAGCAGATGGCATTTCTAATTCAGTCACTTCATTAGCCTCACATCATCATTCTCATGGGTCAAGGTGGGCCACTGGCTGGTTTTCAGGTGTAATTGGTTCTATCACAGCTGGCCGGGAGCCAGTGAGTATAGTGATCAGTCATGCAGCTCCTAAACTAAATCTCTCACCAGCAAGTGGAGCAGCCAGAGGAATTATGACCATAATAAAGACCAGAATCTTTACGATTCAGCTATGAAGCTCATGCAAAGGAAGCAAAGCTTACTGCAAGAACTGTCTTATAGCTTTCAAGTTTCAATTTGATACATTTTATCTCACGGAAATAAAATCCATAAAGAATCCATATATATTTCATTTATTAAAGCTCCATGGATCCGATTTTTACTGTCTTGTATAATATTATTCATGTCTTTTTTTGTTTTATGTAGGGTAAGCAGATTTGTTTCATCCTGTCAAGTTCAATTCAATTCCTTTGCTACACATTTCTGCAAGACAAAGTAATTAATCATGCATCACTCTGGCATGGGTAAAATACATGCTGCACACGGCACAGTCTCTGATTTTTTTGTACTTTTTTGTCCTTTTGGCTCTTCTTTTCCTAAAAAATGTTGAACATGTGTATGACTTGGACTTCAGTTAAGAACTGTAATCATTGGTTCAATGGTTAAAAAGATCCACTTTTGAATGGGGTTCTTTCTAAGATTTTATATAAACTATTTGAGTGAGTTAAAATTCTCATTGAGGTACATTCTTCGCCTAAACACACCTTAAGACTTTATGTTTTAATATTACTTTTAAGGAAGATTGCTTTTTTAGTGTTTTTCTAAAACTGCAGTTTTTTATTTAACGCTAAATGAGCAATCTTGCCAGAAACTCTGTTGTGTTGTGTTCACAGCACAACAGTTTAAGCAGTCTTATTGGCTTAAGTAAAGGAAAGCTTTGTGTTTACACCTTCAAACTTTCTCTCTCTGATTCGTACATGTAATCTTACGATTTAAATGTCTGGCATCGGTTCACAGAGGCAGCAGTCTAAGCTTCCCTCTCCCCAGACACCTTCTCCAGCTCCACTGGGCGCTCCCTCCTGGAGCCAGCCACAGACACGTAGAGAGACTTCTAGGGGGGCATCTGAAACAGATGTCTGAGCCACTTCATCTGACTTCTCTTAATGTGAAGGAGAAGCACCTCGACTCCAAGCACCGAGCGAACGAGTGAAGTGGGCCACTCTGTGGAATAAGTTTGTTTAAACTGCAGAATCTCTTTTTAGTCATGATCCAGATTTCAGCACAATAGGTGAGGGTAGGAATGTTGACTGACTGGTAGATTGAGAGCTTTTCCTTTTTCCCCCAACTCTCTCTTCACAACAGACCACTGCAGCGTCTGCATTATAGCGACTGCTGCACTGATTGATCTGTTGAGCTCTCGCTCCATCCTCTCTTTACTCGTGGACAGGAGACCAGGATACATAAATTGCTCCATTTGATACAATAATTCTCCTCTGACCTGAAGGGAACTAGCCACCTTTTTCCAGTTGAGAACCCAGGGACTCTGAATTGAAGGAGCTGATTCTGGCTGCCTCGCATTAGGCCGGGAACCTCTCCAGTGCATTCTGTTGGTCTAAGCACGAGGGAGCCACAAAAAGCAGGGACGAGATCCGATGGTCCCCAAAACCCCCCTCGTGCCCTTGGCTGTGCCTAGAAATCTTTTCCATAACATTTCTTAACAGGACAGTTGAGAGAGGGCAGTCCTGCCTGAGTTCAGCATGCACTGGGAACAAGTCTNGGCTGTGCCTAGAAATCTTTTCCATAACATTTCTTAACAGGACAGTTGAGAGAGGGCAGTCCTGCCTGAGTTCAGCATGCACTGGGAACAAGTCTAACATGCTGGCAATGTGGACCAAACACCTTCTGCACTTGTAATGCATCCATATGGCCTCTAGAAAAGGGTCCCTGACTGCATACTCATGTAGCGCCCAACACAGAGCACTACAGGGGACACAGTCAAATGCCTTTTCCTGGTACAGAAGTGGACCATGTTGGCAAAGTCCCATGAACCCTTAAGCATATTGGAGATAGTGTAAAGCTGTTCTAGTTTTCCATGGGCAGGAGGAAACCCACACTGCTCCTCCTGAAGCCAAGGTTTAACAGTCAGCCGGGCTCTTTCCTCGAGCAACCTGGCATAGGCTTTTATGGGGAGGCTTAGAAGTGGGATCCCCCTATGGTTGGAACATACCCTCCAATTCTCCTTCCTATGCAGAATCAACATCTCCCTGGTTTGTCAGTCCAGAAGGCATGTCCAAGACTATCCTGCAATGTTGAAAAGGCAGTCCAACAACATCCATTAAAGCAAGGCAGGCAGGGCAGACCTCATCAAGCCTCACCTCTGCTGAGTTTTCAGAATCCCCACTGACTTTAACCAGGGTGATGAACAGATTTGTCAAAAGTATTAATGTTTATTACTCAAGTAGACGTAGGAATCCTACTATTTAAAAACACTTTTGTGGTAGTTAGAGTATCAAAGTATTAAAGTAATTCTCTGGATAAAACTAAAAATTTTGATGGATTTTTTTAAAATACCAATAGGCCATAAGGGGAATGAGCTTGATTGAAACAAAACTAACGGGTTTATTTTTAAAATGTAAGAAGTAGAAAGTAGAGCTAACTGCAAAAAATAAAAAATGTAAGGAGTT